TATGTTAGGGATGAAGCTGAATGACAGAGTGAGAAATTGTTTAATAAGAGAAGAGTGTGGTTTGCAAGATGATGTTGTGACCAGGATTAAGAAAGGAATGCTTCGGTGGTTTGGCCATGTAGAAAGAATGAATGAGGAAAGAGTGACAAAGCAAATTTATGTTGCAGAGGTGAACGGCATAATCGGGAAGGGTCGCCCTAGGCGAAAGTTTATCGACCAAATTGGCGATATATTAAAAATGGGCCATATCAAGAGTACCTTTAACCGACGAGCGTGTATGCGTAGGTATATGGATGTGGAGGAAGCGAGAGAGGTGTGTCAGGATCGTGCCAAATGGAAGTCCATAATCTCTGCCTACCCCTCTGGGTAACAGGCGTGAGTGTTTATGTTATATGTTATGTTTATACAGCCATCCTCGCTTGAGAATCAAAATGCAGATGCGTTGTCACCGCTGAGGATTATTTGTAGCTACAATATTATAAAGCTACAGCATGACTCAACCACCGAGAAAGGGCGGTTCTAATGAAAATAGAATAAAATACACGTTACATATTACTAACAGGCTTTTATTAGTTTGACCTGTATTCATGTTTTTATAGAATAAGGATGACAAACGATCACACAGCCCACCTGATGATATGTAGGTAGATGCTGTGGCCCATAGATATCTGTTATCGTTGCTCGCCCCGGTTTTGCCCGTGTTGAGCCATTATTTATCTTAAATATTAGTTTGTTAAAATAAATTTTAAAACTCATGGTATACCACATTTTTATTCCAGTTTCTGAGGTTTTAAAATAAATTGATCCGCATTTCCTGACCTAGAGAGCTATTAGTCATAATGTATGTATATACATTTATGACTAGCTCGATTTTCTAGTGATCGAAAACGCGGTTGCTGTTCATAAGGTCCTGGGTTTGAATCCCAGGTCGGGCCAAAATCAAATAAATATTATGTTTTCCTGTGCACAAATTCTTCATAGCATCGTAAAGCTGTAAGTCCTGGGCCTGATCTCTCTCCGATCCTGTCAGGTTACCGTCCAATCCGACTATGAGAGTGAGAGAATAGAGAGTGCATCTTTGTTCGCGCACACTTGTGCTTGTGCATTCACTTGGGCACTTTAATCCTGTCCAGCGCAGATGGCTTACGTTGGATAGATGGGTGGATGGAGGATATCCGTTGAGACTGGTCGCTGTGACCGAAATTCGGTCTGGAAGATTAGTATATAATATAGAATATAATATGTGGTCTATGTTCATTTGGAATAATGTACCTTTAAATGGTGAAAGAGTTTTTCATTTTAATTTTTTTTAGGTGCAGTGGTTTCGAAGAGTGCCCTGCACATATACACAAACACAAAATTCGCACTCTCTCTCTTTATAATATTAGTATACAAAGCATAGATTTAAATTTCCTATTGTTTAAAGTTTCTCTATACATAAATTACCATGTTAATGCCCGGCCAACCCAAAACATGCCCCGTTTTATAACTACATATAAACGGATCAAAGATACAGAGAAATAAATGAAGCTTAATGTTACGCACGCTTGAACGTGGAAGGAGACAAATAATTGAAGTTATATTGTGTTTAGTTTGCATTGCGATTGTAGTTAAACAAAACGATGTGATCTTGGGAATAGTTTACCACTATTTACATATTGTTTTAACTAAGTCTAATATTTTGTAAGCTTCATTATCATTACAGCCTATTAGTCATAACATAAATCACTAGAACATAAATCTCCTCAACAGATTTCCTCATAGATTTGCCGTAATTACTGCGTTGCTTGTTATTTTTAAGTTGTTGTCAGGAAGATGCTGCTTCCCATATTATCTTTCTGTTGCCCGCTGTCACCTCTTTAGACACTTAGGGAATAATATGGAGTAATGGATATATGCCTATAAGATATAAGTAATACAAATAAATACATCGGTGCTATTTTACACAAAATATATTATAAAAATATGTTATTTTTAAAGATACATTTTGACAATTGTGCCTGTAAGTATATGATCTCCTTTAATATTACATAACGGTGGTATCTCAAAGGACGCTTAAATCTTACAATAAACAGTATTCGGGCAATCCAAGCTCGATCCAGGGGAGGGGACAGAATAACTAAAACAAAGTTATTGCTTTGTTTTAGTTACTGTCTTACTTAGTACCTACACATTAAATGAGAGTAAATTCGAGTTACATCTAAAACGGTAGTGTATGAAATATGAAGGTAGGTATGATAATATTTTGTTTATTTTATTATCGGGTACCTATGTTATTGTTAGAAGTAGTGAAATGTTCTGTGAGCGTAAACTATTACTATAAAATATTTTTTATTATGGCCACGCCAACCAAATGAAACGCTTGGGCTTTCTTTTAATTAAATGTGATTAAAGCCCATTTTAATGTCTCTTCAGGTGTACAAGGTAAAACAAGAACTGGACAATATAAAAGGACAGATCCAATTAGCGGTTGTGTGAGCGATTCGATACCCATAACGAGGAGGAAGGTAAAAAGGTTGGGTCAAAGAAAGCTAAATTGGAACAAAGTGATTAGTATTGGTCTTCTGACGCGTTCTGTGCGACCAATTGCTTCCTTTGGCAATGATCGGACACGCGTCCTGCATTTAATTATTTATTGGCATAGCCTCCTCACATAGAGAATTGTCTATATTATATTCATAAAACAGTGAATAGATTTTTTTATTGTAATTGCATCTTTAGGATTTTGTCGTGGTAGAGATAACATACTGTGGTCAGTTATGGTGTGAAAGGTGGTCCATTCCGAGCCGATCCATAGTATATTCGTAGCTGCAGTAGTGTCTCTTCCACGTTCTTTTTATAGGAGGGGGGAGGGGGGCAAACGAGTATGCGGCTCACCTGATATTAAGTGACTACCGGCGCCTATGAACAACTGCAACACCAGGGGAACCAGGAGAATCGCAGATGCGTTGCCCGCCCTTTAAAAAGTAGTAGGCACTTTTCTTGAAATATAATTATATTAATATATTTCTTACTTATTTTGTTATAAATTATTAATAATCCTTTCGACGTTAATAATCCGCAAACCTAACACATTTGCGCTTTTTCCTTGTTTTTATTGACTGTCAATGTGTTTGTTTGTGTGTCACAAAAGTTCTCCCCAAGACTATTTTTTCACATTGATTGTCTTTTATAGAATTAGCGCGACAAACCTTATGTCGTCTTTTGGTCAATAGAGGCGACAGAGGGAAACAAACCAGGAGTTTGGTAACAGCGTCTTAATAGCAACTAAAAAATAAAAAAGCGATTATCAATATACCTGCCAATCGCGGCAAGGGCAATCTATGAGGGAGGCATAAGTTGAGCAGTGGATGTTTGCTAGCCTGTAACAATAACGATAGTGGTCCCTCATTTATTCCCCTTGAATTTACCTTACATTTATTATGTATATATACGGCATTAATAATAAAATGAACAGCTTAAATAAATTAAGATAATTGTATCAAATTTGCTTAGCAGATAGAAAGGAAAATTATTTCAAATGAAAGTAATTCTGTCCCGAGGGCAAAGGTAAAAGTTCAATCATGTTGGGAGCGGGACTAATTGATTAAAGTAAGTCAACAGAACTCCCTTTTTCCCCTGTGCCAACGTTTGTTCTGCCTTATTACTATATTTAATTACATATTTTAATACGAGCTTCAATGTTTTTACAGTGATAGAGCCATGCTGCAGCTATATTAATAGTATAGTTGTAGCACGAATGGGTCGGCTCGACTGGGGAAGGATCACGCTCTCACAGAATAAAATCGTAAAATAGCAGGTTAACACTGCTATGTTTCGTATGGTGAGTGTAGAGAACCGGAGACCCTTTTTTGCTAGAAACGAGGCATTCCATCTTAGTCCTGACGGGTGACAACGCATCTGCATTTTGATTCGCAAACGAGGATAGATGTAGATGTCTATGGGCCGCAGCAACCACTTACCATCAGGTGGACTGTGTGCTCGTTTGTCACCCTTATCCTATTAAAAAAAATGTGACTTATGGCGGGATGAAGTGTGTGGTAGAATGTGTATGGGTCATAGTCTGATAAAAAATAATTAAGTCCAAACGTACACAGTAAAGTTAACATTTATTCACTATAGACAGTTACACAAAATATAGATAGTTCCACACGACACAATATACAAATTAATAGCTATACAAAATTGAAGGAGTAGAAAGCGATAGTATAAAACAAAACTATAAAAGCTAGTATTCGCGATAAAATAACAGGACACTCGGTTAGCCAGGCGACATGCGCTTCGCGTGTGAGGTCGGTAAGCAGACTGGCAAACGCGGTGCGAGGCGTTGAATGCGCCCGCGCAAGGAACTTCGTTCTAACGGTATATGTATCATTGTTTAGCGCGTTTCCATTGCACAACAAGGCGAGTGTAAATAATTTAGTAAATATATATATAAAATAAATTATAAGTGTATAATATATATATATATATATATATATACATATATATATATATATATATATATATATATATATATATATATATGTACGTTTAATATACAATAAGTACGCTACATCACTCCCCCCCAGAGACCGTCACTACGGGTGATAAAAATCTGGAAATCGAACTGTGCGACCTGAACGCGTCCTTCTGACGTCATCCTGAGCTGGAGTATTAAGCTCTTTGGGACATTGATCAAGGAAGGAACCGAAATTGGGGTCGGATGTGAGAGTGGGATTAGGGATAGGGTTGTACGCTGGGTCAATCAGCATGTAGGCCGGTTTTAGACGGTCAATGGATACCGTGACGCTTTTACCCTTTATTAATATTTTGAATGTTTTCGCATTACGCTCTAATACTTGGTACGGACCAGTGTAAGGGGGCTGCAATGAGCCACGTAATGCATCGTCCCTTAAAAATACATGACTTGACGCAAATAAGTCCTTGTGTATAAAAATCTTTAATTTATTGTGACGCGCAGCAGGTGAGGGTTGCAGCTTTGATGTTATTTGCCGCAGTTAGGTGGTAAAGTCCGATATATCTATTGAGCCGGGAGCTGCGGCTTGGAAGAATTCGCCTGGTAAACGTAAAGATTCGCCGTAAACTAATTCGGTCGATGATGTTCGAAGGTCCTCCTTAAATGAGCTCCTAATGCCCAATAGTATCAGAGGCAACGTGTCTACCCAATTGCTATCAGCGTGGCACATTATGGCTGCCTTTAACTGACGGTGGAATCGTTCCACTAGGCCGTTGCAAGGTGGATGATACGCGGCTGTTCTACGATGCTTGAATCCAATCATCTTTCCAAGGTACTGGAAAAGTGACGATTCAAACTGTCGACCACGATCAGTGACAATATCGGTTGGGCATCCAAATCTGGATATCCATGATATTAATGCCTTTCCAACTGTCTCGACTGTTATGTCTGCCATTGGTATTACTTCGGGCCATCGTGTGAAACGATCCACCGCAGTCAAGCAATAGCGGTACCCCTGAGAAACAGGGAAGGGGCCAATAATGTCCACGTGAACGAAAGTAAATCGGGCGCGGGGTAGATCAAACGTGCCTAATGGTGACGAAATGTGACGATGAACCTTAGCGCGCTGACACGCCAAGCATTGTCGAGACCACTCACGACAGTCTTTACGAACGCCAGGCCAGACAAACCGCTCTGCTACTAATTTAGCACTAGCATTGGCGCCTGGATGGCTTAAGCTGTGAAGACTGTCAAAGAGTTGTCTCCTCAACGGCTTGGTAACAAAAGGCCTAGGTGTAGACTTGCTGACGTCACAATAAAGTTGCAGTTGAGAGTTTGGAATTCTCAACTTTTCCAGGCGGAGTGAAGATTCACCTCCCAGCAGTTGAGTCAGCTCTCGATCAGATGCTTGAGACGAAGCAAGCACGTCTAAGTCGATAGGTATCTGCAGTTCTTCGACACGTGACAGTGGGTCAGCGACGACATTGTCTTTTCCCGATATATGTCTAATGTCGGTCGTAAACTGCGAGATATAATTAAGGTGACGATATTGCCGAGGCGAACAATTAGCTTTCCTTTCGTTGAAAGCATAACTGAGCGGCTTATGGTCGGTAAACACCACGAAATGTCTAGCCTCTAGCATATGACGAAAGTATTTGATGCTTTCGTATATTGCTAAGAGCTCGCGGTCGTAAGGCGAATATTTTTGTTGAGAGGGACTCAACTTCCGCGAGAAGAATGCTAACGGTTGCCATTCCCCACCTTTTAATTGCTGCAAAACTGCACCCATTGCCAGGTCGGACGCGTCTGTTACTAGCGCCAGTTCTGCCCGACAATCCGGGTGTGCGAGTAATGCAGCATCAGCAAGGCTTTGCTTGCACCTGTTAAAAGCTAAAAGTGCGTCACCAGTCAGATTCACTGGATGAGACGCCTTAACAGAGCCGGCAAGAAGTGCATTCAAAGGGGCTTGAATTGAAGCTGACTGAGGTAGGAAGCGTCTGTAAAAATTGAGCATTCCTAGGAATCGTCTAAGCTGCCTTACCGTTTTAGGCACGGGAAAGTTCTTTATGGCTTCGACCTTGGATTCAAGAGGTTTGGTGCCAGATGCAGAAATTTGATAACCTAAAAATGTTACCTCGTTTGCGCCGAAGACGCATTTCGATGTGTTGACAAGAACGCCATATTCCTTCATGGGAGTGAAAAGTTGATGAAGGTGGGCTTCGTGTTCTGTTTCGTCCTTGGAGAAGACCAAAAAATCATCCAAGTAGGCATAACAAAACTCAAGACCTCGCGTCATCTCGTCAACAAATCTCTGGAAGGTTTGGCTCCCGTTCCTCAGGCCGAAGTTCATAAAGGGAAATTCAAACAACCCAAAGGGTGTAGTAATAGCGGTCTTTTGTATATCCTCCTCAAAAACTGGGATTTGGTTGTACGCCTTCATTAAATCGATGGTGGAGAAGACCGTACAACCAGCGATGCTGTGGGAAAAATCGTGTATGTGCCTAATAGGATAACGATCTGGAATAGTCCGTGTATTAAACATTCGATAATCGCCACAAGGGCGCCAGCCGTTATTTTTCTTAGGCGCGAGATGCAAGGGTGAGGCCCAGGGACTTCTAGAAGGACGTGCGGTGCCATTATTAATCATAAGCTCAAATTCCTGTTTGGCGATTTTAAGTTTATCAGGTGCCAGCCTACGGGGTGTACATGATATGGGAGGTCCTGGTGTAGTCCTTATGTAGTGTACCGTATTGTGCCTTGGAACCACCAGCGTGCCTGAAGGGCGTGTTATTTCTGGGAATTTCTTTAAAAGATTGTGATAACGTGTGTCGCCTGTCAAAACCTTGATAGATGAGATATCAGCTTTAGCGAAAGAAGCAATTGACGACAATGTAGTAGTATTGTCAATAAGGCGTTGATTGCGGCAATCTACAATTAAATTATAAAAACTAAGAAAGTCAACACCTATAATAGGTTTGGTAACATTAGCAACAATGAATCGCCAAGCAAAACTACGTCTTAAGCCTAAATTTAAATTAAGCTCTATAAAGCCAAACGTGTCAATTACCGATCCATTCGCGGCGCTCAATTGGTAATCTGTCTTGGTTCGACGCTCTCGAAGTGCAGAACGAGGGTAGATGCAAAGGTCACTGCCTGTATCCACCAAGAACTGGGTGTTCGAGCTGCGGTCGGTTACAAAAAGGCGACCCGTTGAGGAGGGGCAATCGTCTGCCGCCATTAGCGACTGCCCTCGGAGTTTCCCAACTTGCCAAAATCGCAGGGCTTCAAGCACCTATGGGCCTGCGCTCCATACTTTGCGTGGTACCAGCACATCGGGTATTTGCGATAACTGGAATTGGATCTACTTCTCTGCCTCGAAGAAGAACGATGACGATCATGCGCTCTGGAACGACTACGACTGGTAGAACGTATGCTCTTCCAATGTAAGCTGCTGCACCATCTTCTTCAACTCTGTAATGTCATCGGACGGATGAGATATATGCACCTCACGGGAAGATACAGCAGCGATGTTACATGGTGACGTCAGCTCCTGTATCCGATCAGCTAGGTCCGCAAGTTGCTCCAGTGAATGTGTCGGCTGCGATGCCAGCACAGTCTGGATATTATGTGGCAGGCGATTGCTCCAAATCGACCTAATGAAGTCCTCAGGAACTGAAGGACCAGCCAAATCCTGAAGGTGCCTCAAAAATTGTGATGGCTTCCTGTCTCCTAGCTCTTCATGGGTCAGCAACTGTTTCACCTTCTTTTCATGGGAAGCTGAGAGACGTTTGATCAGCTCTGACTTAATCTTGTCATATCGATTATGAGCTGGAGGATTGACAATAATATCCTTCACTGCTTTTGCGTATTGAATATCCAAATGATTGGTCACTTCCGTGAACTTAATGGAATCATCAGTGATGTCATGCCTAGAAAACTGACCTTCAATAAGCGCGAACCAAAGTTCTGGATCCTCAGGTGAGAATGGTGGCACTTTTATTTTCAAGTTGGGTACATATTTATTTTCATGTTCCGTGGAAACGCGCACTGGGTGTGTCCGTCGTATAGTGACTTTGGCATCGTGGCGCGATCCAACCGTTTTCGCGGAGTCACTGCTATCACTCATCTTAATCTTCGTGTCCTTATCGGGGTCACCAGTTATGGCGGGATGGTGTGTGTGGTAGAATGTGTATGGGTCATAGTCTGATAAAAATTAATTAAGTCCAAACGTACACAGTAATGTTAACATTTATTCACTATAGACAGTTACACAAAATAATGATAGTTCCACACGACACAATGTACAAATTAATAGCTATACAAAATTGAAGGAGTAGAAAGCGATAGTATAAAACAAAACTATAAAAGCTAGTATTCGCGATAAAATAACGGGACACTCGGTTAGCCAGGCGACATGCGCTTCGCGTGTGAGGTCGGTAAGCAGACTGGCAAACGCGGTGCGAGGCGTTGAATGCGCCCGCGCAAGGAACTTCTTTCTAACGGTATATGTATCATTGTTTAGCGCGTTTCCATTGCACAACAAGGCGAGTGTAAATAATTTAGTAAATATATATAAAATAAATTATAAGTGTATAATATCTATATATATATATATATATATATATATATATATATATATATATATATATATATATATGTACGTATAATATACAATAAGTACGCTACACTGACTTGATACAAATTGCGAAAGCTTAGTGTGAAACTGTTTAGAGTAAGTAGCGAGAGTAAGTAATTTAAAACAATTCATAGCAAAAAAATAGCTGAACCGATTTTGATAAAAACGAAATCATGTTCTAATTGTGTACTGAATGAAACCAACCCGACGTCGATATCTCTATTTGTTCTCGGATGAGAGGAAAGTAACCACGAACCTTTGATTGTATACTGGTATAGTCAAGTTCACGATCGTACAAGTATACAGGTACGCCATATTGTCTTATATTAAGAGAATCTTCTACTCTATATTATGTAGTGATTGTAACAAAGTAAAATTTAAACAGGATGGGCAGCAGCGTCTTTTTTTATAAGATAAGAGTGACAGTCAAGCACACAGTCCACATGATGGTAAGTGACCATAGACATCTACATCTATCGTTTGCGAATCAAAATATAGGTCAGCCGCGAGGACTAAGTGTTACGGCCCGCAGTTGCCCCTGCAAAGGTCGCCTTGGCTAAGGCCCATAGTAGCCTCCTCGAAGGGTAGTCGAGGGTTCGGGCCCGAATGGCCATATGGAAACTTGACTTATCCTAATACATAGAAGGCTAGGACAATAAATAGTACGTACCTTGATCCGAATGCAAGACCGCCCCAAGGCTCGGTCAGGCCGTAGGTAGAGTAGATGTATGCACAGTGGTGTTTAGTGATGTGTATATGTGGGTGACCTGGCCCAGCTGAGGTGACCTGGCAGCGGCCGGTTTCCATGCTGCCCCACAATGCTGCATCACTCCAGCAGGCGTCACCAATGGACCATTTCTTTCTTCATTTCACTATTTCAGTCTATCCACTTTATTGTACATTTAACTAACTTCAACTCGACTAATTCAACGTTCATCGTAGAATCGAACGCGTGATATCCAACACAAGTAATGAACCGTAATCAAAGTTCAACATTCAATGTCCCTTTTATCACCAAATTACGAATAGGGAATTAACGTGATCTCTTCATGAGTCACACGGTTCAGTGTTACGAACACAACTAAACTCCCTCGTTCGATATTAACCACCACGCCGCAATAAGAATTCAAATCAACCTAGCTAACACGTAAACTAGCTACTGAGTCAACACACAAAAGGTTCTTAACGCGACGTTATAATTAAACAATGTTTTCCAAAACAATCAACCGGACGACGCTCTCGATAAGGAATGAGCGGGTCGAATTCCACGTCACCCGAGCAAGCCAAATATTGTAAAATGCACTTGAACACGTAATCACTATATAATTGGAGTAACGGAATCACTTTAATCAGTCAAATACAATAAAAGCCTCTTTTCACAAACTTAAAACCTAGACAAACTAAACAAAACGATGTGATCTTGGGAATAGTTTGCCACCATTTACATATTGTTTTCACTACAACTAATATTTTGTAAGCTTCATTAACATTACAGCCTATTAGTCATAACATAGGCCACTAGAACATAAATCTCCTCAACAGATTACCTCATAGATTTGTCATAGTTGCTGCGTTGCTTGTTATTTTTTTTTTAGTTGTTGTCAGGAAGATGCTGCTTCCCATACCATCTTTCAGCTGCCCTCTGTCACCTCTAAGACACTTAGGGAATGATATGGAGTAGTGGATATATGCCTATAAGATATAAATACCAATAAAATACATCGGTGCTATTTTACACTGACATTCAGTTAGTTAAGGCTGATTTACACGGGGACAGTAACAGGCACCAGTGCTGGTGCCGACGACTGACTTGCAACGTTTACACGCAGTCAGTAGTCGCGCAGACAGTGCTGTACTGACTTCAAATCAATTTATATTATGCCAGTAGCGGGTCAGCACTGATTTGCCTCGAATTTGGAGCCAGTTACTGTCCCTCAGCCATTACAAACACATGTTATTTTTAAAGATACATTTTGACAATTGTGCCTATAAGTATATAATCTGCTTTAATATTACATAACGGTGGTATCTCAAAGGACGCTTAAGTATTACAATAAACAGTATTGGGGCAACCCATGTTCCATCCAGTACGTGTAAGTGCCGATTTACCACGTACTAAGCGCTATAAGAAAACATCTTGAGAAAAGGTAGACATATAAAATCCACCAATTAGGCAATATAATACGGCAGTCCTTTACTGCCCCTTAAGGTCAGAAATGAAAGGATGTCTGTTCTAGTCAGTTCTATTCATATTTCTTTCATTTATTCGATAAAAGCCCATTTTAATGTGTTCAGGTGTACAAGGAAAAACAAGAACTGACCAGTATAAAGGGACATATCCAATTAGCGCTTGTGTGAGCGATTTGATACCCGTAACGGGGAGGAAGGTAAAAAGGTTGTGTCAAAGAAAGCTAAATTGGAACAAAGTGATTAGTATTGGTCTTCTGACGCGTTCTGTGCGACCAATTGCTTCCTTTGGCAATGATCTGATACGCGTCCCGCATTTAATTATTTATTGGCATAGCCTCCTCACATAGAGAATTGTCTATATTATATTCATAAAACAGTGAATAGATTTTTTTTATTGTAGTTGCATCTTTAGGATTTTGTCGTGGTAGAGATAACATACTGTGGTTTAAATATAATTATATTAATATATTTCTTAGTTATTTTGTTGTAAATTGTTAATAACCCTTTCGACGTTAATAATCCGCAAACCTAGCACATTTGTGCTTTTTCCTTGTTTTTATTGACTGTCAATGTGTTTGTTTGTGTATCACAAACGTTCTTCCCAAGACATTTTTTCACATTGATTGTCTTTTATAGAATTAGGGTGACAAACATGTCGTCTGTTGGTCAATAGAGGCGACAGAGGGAAACAAACCAGGAATTGGGCAACAGCGTCTTAATAACAACTAAAAAATAAAAAAGCGATTGTCAATATACCTGCCAATCGTGGCAAGGGCAATCTATGAGGGAGGCGTAAGTTAAGCAGTGGATTTTTGCTAGCCTGTAACAATTACGATAGTGGTCCCTCATTTATTCCCCTTGAATTTACCTTACATTTATTATGTATATATACGGCATTAATAATAAAATGAACAGCTTAAATAAATTAAGATAATTGTATCAAATTTGCTTAGCAGATAGAAAGAAAAATTATTTCAAATGAAAGTGATTCTGTCCCGAGGGCAAAGGTAAAAGTTCAATCATGTTGGGAGCGGGACTAATTGATTAAAGTAAGTCAACAGAACTCCCTTTTTCCCCTGTGCCAACGTTTGTTCTGCCTTATGACTATATTTAATTATATATTTTAATACGAGCTTCAATGTGACTTGATAAAAATTGCGAAAGCTTAGTGTGAAACTGTTTAGAGTAAGTAGCAAGAGTAAGTAATTTAAAACAATTCATAAGAAAAAAATTGCTGAACCGATTTTGATAAGAACGAAATAATGTTCTCATTGTGCATTGAATGAAAGCAACCCGACGTCGATATCTTTATTTGTTCTCGGATGAGGGGAAAGTAACCACGAACCTTTGATTGTATACTGGCATAGTCAAGTTCACGATCGTACAAGTATACAGGTACGCTATATTGTCTT